ATTAATGAGATTTCAACATTTGATTTTGTAATTTTGTCAAAATTTAGCAATCCTCTTATGCCTAAGTATTTGTTTATTACACAATTTCAGAAACACATTGAATTATTCAATATTATTCATTACAATATTCTAATCGCTGTTTACGCCATTACCTAAATATTTAAGCTGATTTATTGCTAGGTTTTTTGGGTACATATTTGGGTACTATAAGGGCTTAGGTACACCGCGCTTCATTGTACACTAAACACATCGTTCAGATATCCATCACCGTGATTGCTGGCACGGACCGTGAATCAATCACTACAACTCGCAAACGGCAAAATCCTAATGTATTGGAAAATTGAACTTTCAACGTGCTCTTATTTTTGTTTGGAGTCTCAAGCTGTTTATGTCGTGGTCTGAATTTATTTTTATTTAGATTAATACTGATCGCGGTCGCTTTCAATGGTGTTTACTTTCTTAAGTGTTCTGTGGTTTACATTTTGGTATATAAATTGATTTTACTGCTCTGCTTATTTGAATGAGTGGTCGCAAGTGCGACTGCCGGGCGAAGTGTCTCGGGTTCGATTCTCGGGCCGGGCAAAGTATTACTAAGTTTTAATAAAACACTCAGTCGTAGCACGGAGTCTGGAATTGTGCCCGGTATATAGCAATAGGGTAAAGTGACGACATCCGTAAGGTGGCTGGCAGTGGTTGGATGAGAAGAGCTGAAGACCGAGCTCAGTGGCGTGCCATAGGAGAGGCCTATGTCCAGCAGTGGACGAATACGGCCTGATGATGATGATGATGATGATATAGCAATAAGTTCACCCCCTCAATTATTCGACTCGTAACATACATAGTGAAAAGTGGTTATTACATTGTACAGTGGCATTAAGTGCCGTAATGTGCACCACTGCCTACCCCTTTCGGGAATAAAAAGGCGTGGTGTTATGTTATGTTATTGATTTTACTTAGTTTGTTTAGTAATATTACGAGAATAATTTTTCATGTTCGGTTCCGTGATTAGACAATTAAGTTTTCCTGTTTTGATATTTTCATTGGTAGATAAGTCTTTTACTATTTTTGGATAAGTGTTTAGTGAACATATTTCATGGCATTCAAAATAACAATGGCGTGGGTGGGCAATCACTACCTACTTATCCATACTAAGTAAACTTTTGTATTGTATACACTACAACCTACGCCTTTGGGGTGATTTATATAAAAGTCAACAAGTACTTTGTATTATTGACGAAAGATCAAAACATATTAAAGCGTTGAATGACTTTTCGGAGTCGTGGAGAACCTAACGGGTAACCGGGGCTCCGGCTCGACGTGCAGGAGAAGGAACGGGGTGGTTTTTAGTCAGTAAGAATCTGACACTCCCTCCCGCCTCACCCAGGCGGGAGCAGTAATACGATGATTTTCCCCCTTAAAAAAAATGGTGGTGTAATATTATTTCGATGTTGTTGGTAGTATACTAGGAAGGGTGTCAACAACCGAAAATAAGTATTGATTTTAAGGAAAACTCTTTTAATAAAAAGGTGGACTAAATCACAATTCCACGTGCGGAAATTCAGTTTTGAAATATTGGTATTACATTATCTCTTTGACGTTTTAATCAGAACTTAATTTGTATTCACACGCCTCCCAGCATGAAGTTGTTTACCCCAAAATGAAGCATTTCGTTGGTATTCTGTCGGCGCCACAAAAACTGTACAGGCATCCATCCAAAATACTTTTCTTACTAAATTAATTTTGGCGTAGTATATTGCTTTTTTTTCAGACATATTCCATTCGTTTTGCTAAAGTTGATGAATGGAAGGTAGTAAGTATGTTTAACAAAATAAAACTATTTCTTGTTTTTGTGAACAAACTATATTTAACACGTATTGTAGGTTTATGTTGTATATATATTTAAGTTGTATTTTATTTAAATTAGCTATTTAATGTCTCTGAAAAGGCTGAAAAGATTTCCATATTTAGGTAGTATTAATTTAATACCTAGAATTTTGCTGCTTAAATTTTTTTAAAAGGTTTTTATCGTCACCATAAGTATAGGTAGTTTTATGAGTCAAGTCAACGTTAGCCTGTGGACGAGTAGCTAAAACCTTATTCGATATTTTGATGAATTTTATTAGCTGTGGGGATATAACTAGAAGATACAAGTGATGACAATAATATTTATACCACACAATATGTAGGTAAATACCACTCCGTGTTGTCGACAGCCTTTGGAGTCAACAGTGCAATAAGGAAAATCTTTGGCGTTAAGACAAACCTATAAGAAATTCGATGATAGTGGTCACAGGCACTTATAACTATCATTAGGTGGTTTGTTTTGACAAGACAATGCAGTGTTAGCGAAGGGCCTCGTATTTAGTATGTGAGTCGCGGTGAGACACTCTATTGATGTTTCCGATTGAGTGAACAAATTATTTACATAGAGTTGATAGAACAAGGGATTTCGTTAGTAAGCATAGTTATAAATAAGCTACTTGTTACTATAAATTCATCTATATGTTGAAGGGTGGCTAAATGCTGGGGAAAGTGGTAATTTATAATATCGAAGGTTAATATTATTATACGTATTAAGCATTGCGTCAACGACCTATTTGTAGGTGGCTCATAAGTATTTACCTAACTCTAGATAAAACATAAAAATCATTTATATAAAGAAAACTCCAGAATAAACAGAAAGCAATAAAGAAAAGGTGATAATTTCAAACTTACAAGCTCATAACGAATTCTTAACAAAACTCCAATGGTGTCCTAAAAAGGAAAGGGTTTCAACAGCTCCATAAACTTACATCAGCTGTATAGAAATCGAATCACATACTCCTTGATTTTGAGGAGATCACAATCGGAATACCAATGACGTGGCGTCACTTTGAACGGAGGGTAGTAACACTTTACTGCCGCGCGCGCCCTCTAGCTCATAATCTGAGATGTACGCAATTTTGAACACCGCACGTGCTATTGGCTATTTCTTTACGTCTTGTAAAAGAATATTCTTTTTCTATCTTTGGACGTCGGTGGGTTATAGTTTTCTTTTTATGTTGGAAAGTTTTTTTTTATGGCATAAGCCGGTAAACGAGCAGACGGATCACCTGATGGTAAGCAATCAGCGCCGCCCATAGACACCTGAAACACCAAGCGTTACAAGTGTGTTAACGGCCTTTTGTGAAGGGGATAAATATAATGACCACCATAAAATGCTTTGATACCCTAATGAGGTAACCAAAAATATCTACTTAACACCAGAAAAATGAAGTAAAAAAAATACAATAGTGCTAGCTATTTTTGTCACGACTCCACTTTAAATTGTTTTCGACCACCAAATTTAGTAAATGAATTGTAATAATAGGATTAAATAATAGGATTGTGGAGGATTCGGGGATAGGAGAGGCCTCAGGTAACCTCACTCACACGACGAAACACAACGCAAGCGTTGTTTCACGTCGGTTTTCTGTGAGGCCGTGGTATCACTCCGGTCGAGCCGGTCAATACGTGCTGAAGCGTGGCTCTACCACACTTGGTTTATAGATATTTAGTTTTATTATTTTATGCATTATTAGTTTTACGAATCTTAGTTGATGATGACGATGTCTCATGTTGCTTTAATTGTGTAATAGTCAATTGTGGAGTACCGATTCATTATTCGATTAGAAAAAGTATTATAGATATTTTAAGAGCACTAGCATTGAATGTGGTTTTGTGTTTGTGCCAGCCTTCTTTACAACACAACACAAGATGCAAATATACCTGTATCTTTGCATCTTCTTTTTTAATAAGTATTATTTTCTTTTTCCAACAATCGTATAAGTTCACTCAATATACCTCACAAAGGTCTACTTATTAAAGGGTGACGGTTTTATATGTGTATGCTAATCACAATAAACACAGGGGATTTGGCCCATAAAAAGTACAAAATAAAAAGTTAAGTTCCCGTTCCACAATTTACGACTCGCCCCATAGCGAGAGTATTTCATAGAGGCAAGCTTACACCATCCAGCGCTTTACGACCACACTTCTTAAGCATTTAAAACTATATTAAATTCTTAAAATGCGGTTCCTGGCTAGTCATAAAAAAAATGATTTTCTTTATTAACAAGATGAAATTTTTATAATATGTGCCTTAATTATATTGTCAGTAGTTACATAAATGCATAATTAATTTAACCCCGTTATTACATACTTAGATTGTATCAACACAGACTCAACACGTTTGGAGTTTCTCGAAAGAGTGCTAACGTGTACTCTACTCAAAATATGAACAGTTTTTCTCCAATATCGAATGAGCCTATTAATTACCAAACATTAGTAACAAGTCTAGACTTCGTACTGTTATTGACTTTAGAGTTAATAAGACTAACAATCAAGTAGAACAAATTATTTTAGAATGAAAGCAAACTATCACTTTCTCTTTCATTCGCCGTACTAGCAGCCAGATGAAATTCATTCAGCTACTTTGTTACCTCGTCCTATCTAGGGTGCAATTTCTTTAATAAACTCTTCTACAGCAAAACTTTTAATTAAACGGTACGCTGTAGTGTCACCTGAGAAATCTCTAAATATTTCTTCGGTCAGTGTACCATTAAATATTTTATATTGTAATCTCGCAATACAGCGTTTCGTCTTTTATTGACACGGCCAGACCTCTATAAAGTTTCTCCCCTTTACGACATCAAGTGAACTAAAAGTTTTTGCACAGTTTTATTTGATTAAAATTAATTATTTAATAATGAAAACCTTCAAAGGGAACTAAGCTAGTTATGTGTGGGGGAATTTTTGCTTATTTGCACAGGTATGCTGTTGACAAAGGACACGGTATGTGGAACTCATTTTGTTTGAGTACGGAATGAAAGAATTTTGTGGAGTTGACACCCTGTATATCGGATAGTTTACTGCGTGTTTTTTTTTTAATTATAATTATGGCAAATAAATTATGTATACAAAAAGCTAAACAACAATAAATATAGAAATAATGAAAATTTATTCAATTAACATAACATAGTCTACCACTCAAAATAATCGATATGTGCGCAAGAGTTAACGTTGCCGCAGTGTTTTCTGTCAGTAAGTGTAGGGCAGTTGCGGCCACCCTCCTTCTTTTCACGTACTACGCTCCTGGATCGAAGTTGTTCACCGAAGCCACAAGTGACTGAACAAGGTGACCAAGCACTCCATTCCGAGACGAGGCAGTCATTGGCTGGGAACAGTTGACATAAACATAAGTATAGAAATTAAAGATAAATGAACGCTGTAGAATGTCATTATCATATCCCGTTTCTGTCCTCTAAGTACTAGACCTAGGGCTCTCCCGATAAAACGTCAATGAATTTAATCTTATACTCTTTGCAGTAGGTTTTAGTACATAGATAAACAGTGTTGGCTATAAATCAATCCCTATTCTCAGAGCACATAAAACACAAATTACGACAATAGTTGTGAGTACTTAGAGTTCCATATAGTCTCTTAATGGATAAATCAAACGTGGAGTGTTAGCCCTGGTTGGCTGTAAAGATCATGGTACGACCACGATTTATAACTATCGCCGTAACAAAATAGATACTGATACTGACAAAAAGTTTAGTAAAGTGATTACAATTAATATTGTAGACTAAAAGATTGGCATTTTTTAGCCTTTGTCGCGTTAGTTGTTATAGTACGTAGGTAATAGTGTAAGCATTTCTTTAAATTCTGTTTGGTCCTATCAATCGATGATTTATTCCAAAATAAATAATGACTTACGTTGTATCTTGTTAACTGCATGGTGCAGACGAGACCTAAAATGTCTAGGCAGATGTTTGTGCAGCCCCAGTTTTCTGCCGTGAGCAACTGCTAGAACAACGTCGTCCATACTCTTGAGTTCACCTTCGAATTCTTTTTCAGTTGTCCTGTAATATTTAAAAGTAATTAAAATTAGATATCTTAAAGTCGGTACAACACATTGTAGTCCAAAGCATTGCATAGCTTGAAACTTTGTAATAAAATTGTACAGACACTGTTATCCTTATCCTTACTAATATTATAAATCTGAAAGTGAGTTTGTTTGTTTCTTCCACCTTCACGCCGTAACTACTCAACCGACTGTTTTGAATTTTTGAAGACGTAAAGTTAGAAGTCCGGATTAAATAATAGGGTAGGTACATTTTAACCCGGAAAAATTTATATTTCCGATGAAAAACAAAAGTATTGGTATAGATGGCGCTGTGTGTATTGGTATATGTCACATAGGCTATTTTTTATTCTTTTGTGACGTGAGCGAAGCCGCGCAAGATTTCTGAGATGTTTCTTAAAATTGTTATCTTACTTATTTTCTACTTACGTAGTTGTAGGAGCTTTAGTCACAACGACCACATAGTTTTCTGGTACATTAGGTCTTGGTGTACCAATAGGTTCTTCCTCTAAATCTTTCAACGTATCCACATTGCTTCGTGTTGTCATTGTAGGATGTTCTTCTTCTTCATCGCTTTCTTCATCACTGTCATCATTAACTTTAACCGTTTGTCGTGGTGCATCATTTTGTTCGTTTTTAGCATCGAGCGTTGATAGAAGTTCTGTTCGAGCTAGATTGTTGAGTTCCTTTGTTGAGTATTGTCTTACCTAAAAAACAGAAACTTAGTGAATACGCGTTCCACGTTTTATTACGAGATTTCCACGAGATTTTGATTAATACGCTCTGTATTACAAAATTACATAAAAAGTAGAAAATTAAACGAAAAACAATAAGTTATTTGTTTTTTAAACACCTACAAGTCTCATAAGAAAAACATTCTTGAAATTTAAAGATGCAATTATTTCTCATTTGTTGGTTAGAATTGCTCCATGGCTTCACAAATTGCTTCTTCATACAATGTAACTGCAATTTTATACGAGAACGTTCGCCAACGACTTTGTGCACATACAATTTATAGGGACACTAATATTTTCTAGAAATTCTTTGCTCCCATTACTTTTTGGTAGAATTTGGAATTTGCTGGCAAATATAACTTATCTAATGCTTTCGAAAGAATTTTGCAATGATAAATCATGGTATTGTTCTGTCTACTCCTTCAGCGTGTAATTACTTCGTAGGCGTAATGTTTTTACGCTATATAGATGATAGTAGAGTCATTAATTTAGATATTAAACTGTCAAACACCGCGAGGACATCGGTGACCGCAACCAATTGTTCGTTAATTGTGTCTATAATGACGGTACTCAAAGAGATAAATGCTAAACACAAAAATTAAATACTGTGGTTTTTCAACGGCTAGTATTCAACCCTATGTAATTAGTTTTTTGATAGGACTCGAGAGATGCCTAATATTTCAGTTAGTACTCAAGAAATTGCCCTAACACTTGGTTCCCTGTTCTTATGATAGATTTATTTAGACTGCTATCAACCTCTTTGCATACCTTAATGTTAATACTAAAGTGTTTTTGTAAATTATTATCTTCCTAAACTTGTCCTACTGTCGCGGAGAACCTAACGGGTAACCGGGGCTCCGACTCGACGTGCAGGAGAAGGAACGGGGTGGTTTTTAGTCAGTAAGAGGCTGACACTTCCTCCCGCCTCACCCAGGTGGGAGCAGTCATTCGATGATTTTCCTCCCTTAAAAAAAAGACTTGTCCTATTGTATATTGATTGTTTCTCTTGAAAACAATCCCGCATAGCATCCTCAAAGCTAATTCAAGAAATAAAAACTAAGCCTGCAATACTCAATCCATGAATAAAAACTTAACCTACATTTCCCTTTAACTGCACAATAGCTAATCATAAAAGTATCTGGCAAAGGGAGCATAGAACAGTATGATTAGATTAAACACTTGAAGCATTACCTACCAGAGAGCCGATAGCCCGTGTAACACGATTATGTACTTGTATTAACATAATTGTTACATTACGACGGCGTCATTGCAAAGATACGAGTGCTCTTATAAATGTAGGGTTAGGGAAATGTTGTATTTTCTTTTTTTGGGTTTAAAGGCTAAGATTTTATATTATCTAAAGTTTATTCCTATTTTTTTTAAATCGTTACTCACACTTAGATTTTCTCCTATCTCGTGGGTGCGTTTATAAACGTACAAGTTCACATGCACATGACACCTAGACCCTGGAGCAACAATTTGTGGATCACACAAAGAGTTGCTCCGTGCGAGAATCGAACCCGCAACACGTGACACGGCAGCCGGTTACCCAGCCACCGCACCAACCGTGCCGTCAATTATACAGTATAATACTAACAAATATTTTTCTGTTACGTTATTACTAAGCCTGATTAAGATCCAGTCCATTGGAATCCGTATTTAAACTAAATTGGCTATCAAATAACAGTTCCTAAGAAGGGCCTTTTACATCTATTTAATTTAAGCTACCTTGGTGAATTCCACTTTAGCTATAGCTGGCAGTTCTCTCAGCAGCGGGTAGTAAAAGCCGGCAGCTGGATGATCAGGTAATCTTGGTTTGTGCCTGGTCACCAGGTCAGGTGGGTTGGTCTCCCAGCGTGGAGCTGTAAACGTTAATCCACTTGCTGCTCCTGCATCTAGAGGTTCCAACTGGAAGTAAGAAATATTATTCCCCAAATGTTAAGCTGAGTTATGTGAAGCTATTAATTAATGAAGAAGTGGTTTATTTTAGTCATGCATAGATCGGTTGATATGTAATTAGTGGTGCCCATGCTGATGAAAGACCTACAACACCGAAAAGTCGGATTTAATTAAAATTCTCCTTTGTTATTATTACAGCTGCGCTTAAGTAGAGCTGAGAGAGCATAAGCTATTTATAATTATTATTGTAGTTTTAAGTTAATAATAATAGTAGAGATTTTACTTACATCAAGAGTTATTTGATCGACCCATGAAGAGTCCACGCATAGGTTTACGCCATCTACTCCAATGAACCAGTCTGGTGATGGAATCATACGACTTATGAGAGACACCTGTAAAATAAATACGAATTTTATACAAATAACTTTAGTTCCGATTGTGTGTAAAGTACGAGATAAAGATTTATACAAATAGGTCCTTATTAATATGGCATTAAAATTATCTGCAGTAACAATCTTCAGAAATAACATTAGATAAGAAAGTTGGTTCAAAAGTTCCTCTCATGAGATCACGAAGACGTTTCTAGCGTAAAATAGGATTAGAAATTGGTCTAGTATTTCAGATAAGATTGATACATCAATGGGGCCTGCCATATTCCCCACCAGATGGCGCTTGTGTGCTTCTGTCGTTTTTCGTCCAATAAGGAATTAGCTAGTGTAATCCCATTGGACATTCAGTATTTGACTACTGCTGTGTGAGTGTGAAGTATATTATTTATAGTACTTAAGGTTATTTTCTTTTTCGATCTTTTTCATTGGATTTTGGTGTTACATTATTCTCGCACAATCGAACCAGCAAAACTATGTAACTAGAGAATCGTATTGTGAACCTGACTGAAAAAGAGTAACCTATGGAGTTTCTTGCTCGTTCTTCTAGGAATGAGCAAATAGCTTCAATAAATTTAATGCTTTTGATTTGTACTTTGATTGGAGTAAAAATCTCTTCCTAGATTTTCGCTGTATGGTGACCAAAAATACGATATGCCCCATTTCAATCTTTTTTTTTATACTTAGTAGTTCTCTTACCAAACTGTGCCTCCCATCAACAAACACCATGTTCTCTGTCGTCCCAGTTCCTAATCCTATAGCTGGTGCTGAGAACTGGTCGTAAACCTGTTGATCGTCATCACCCTGCTTCACCAGGTCATCGATCTTCCCGTACTGGGCGAAGGAACGAATTGAAGCACTCGCGACTGAACCTATGTGGTACAGGCTGTAGTTTGAAGAGTGTGATTGTCCTGAAATTATTAAATGGTGATTTTTACTAAATATCTTTTTTTTTCTTTAAAAAAAAACATTGCCCCACACTAGGATTTTCTCCTGTGTCGTGGATGCGTTTACAAACATACAAGTTCACATACATATGATACATATGACACCCAGACACGGAACAACGATCTGTGGATCACACAAAGAGTTATTCCGTGCGGGAATCGAACCCGTGACACGTTGCGCGGCAGTCAGTTGCCCAATCACCGAGCCAACCGCGCAGTCGAGATATGTTTAGTTAATATCTTTTTTTTACTAGTTACGACATACCTATTTTCTAATAGTCTGTTTTAATAACCTCTCTTTCAGTAGATTTGATTGTTTTATCAAAGTTAACATGGTGTTGATGTTTTATATCTATCTGTAGTAAGCAAATGTTAAGGTAGAATGGAATGGAATAGGCACAAAGGCTTATCACTGATAGTGATTTCTACTGACTGAGATAATAAGTCTGACAAAAATTTATTTCACCGATCGAGATATTTTTTATGATATTTTTTTTAACGTATTTATTCACAAAAATTATACATAGATTTACTTATACATCAAAAATCGCCAAACTGTATAACAGTTTGTTGGCGATAGTGGCGCTCATATATTATACAATAAAGTTGCTTATAACTACTATTAATCTAAATAAATACTATACTATTAATTGATACATATTATCTTTACAATTAATACATATTATCTATATAAGTCGGTAAACGAGCCGGTGGATCAACTGATGGTAAGCAATCGTCGTCCATGGACATCTGGAACACAAACGGCGTTACAAGTGCATTACCGGCCTTTTGGGAATTAGAAATTTTAGGATTGTTGGGGATTCAGGGATCGGGGAGATTGAGGAAGGGCCTCCAAAAACCTCACTCACACTACGAAACATAATGCACGTTGTTTCACGTCTGTTTTCTGTGAGGCAGTGGTACCACTCCGGTCGAACCGGCCCATTCATGCCGAAGCATGGCGTTCCCACACTTAAAAGTATAACGAGATGATAAGTTTTCATGGTATAACTGCTGTACTTTTGATAGGGCATGTGAAAAACTGACAACAGATAAACGTTAGTTTTTCCCAAACGTCTACTGTAAAGTGGTAGATCGAGACAGATAAATAAAATTGAAGTATCTGTTTGTAATATTGAAATACCCACATTCACAGCCCACATCCATATGGACATACATACGATACCTATACCTACCATAATAACATTTTTATAATTTTTTATCTGTCTGTTTGTTTGTACTGGTTAATCTCTGAAATGGCTTGATCGATTTTAATGGGAATTTTACTAGCAGGTAGCTGAAATACTAAAGAGTAACAGTATTTTTATTTTGGTAAATTGAAAAAAAAAATTGATTCTAAAACTCATGTTCTACGCGGACGAAGTCGCTTGTTTAAAATAAAGATTTACGTAAAATAACTAAGATAAGGTTTTAATTCTATGCAAGATTTATATCTCTAGTCTCTGTTGATAAAGTTATTATTATACACTGTTATATTAAGTTATATCAAGTACACATACACTGTTATATCAAGTTAAATTTAACGTAAACTCTTGTAAAGGAAGCGGTCCATTGAAGCGTCTCACTCCTGGTAGCTGGGTGATTCTCAAAGGATTTCCTAACGATATTCATTACGAAGATTAATTCATTATAACCCGGTAATGTTGTAATTTAATTATTGGTAGCACGTACTTTGTGTATTGGTACGCCATTTTATTTTAAAAAGGTAAAGGTTGAGGCTCATTTGACACGGTTTGTCTTGTTGAAAGATATTACAGATTGCGTAATATCTATAGTCTAACTTATGAAATTCATTACTCACAGTCAAAGTCAAAGCATTTATTTCAATTATTTTAAAATGTCAACAAATTTGCTGCCTCGTTGGCCGAGTGGTCGCAAGAGCGACTGCCGGGCAAAGGGTCTCGGGTTCGATTCCCGGGTCGGGCAAAGTATTACTGGGTTTTTAAAAATCTCAGCAGTAGCACGGAGTCTGGAAATGTGCTTGGTATATGGCAATAGGCTCACCTGCTATTACATGGGACTCATAACATAAATAGTGAAAATTTTATATTGTACAGTGGCATTAAGTGCCGAAATGTGCACCTCTGCCTACCCCTTAGGGGATAAAAAGGCGTATTGTCATGTTATGTTATGTGTCAACAAATACAAAAGAAATGATAGTCTGTCTGTCCGTCAGTCAAGCTAGGTGCTCGTTCCAAAACGTAGATTCAAATGTCAAGAAACATCATTCGTTACTCTTTTTAAACTTTTTTATAAAGGCATATACCACCCATTTCCCAAAAGCTAATTATTATCTTAGAAGTCTCTTATAATAGGGGTCATATTATTACAATTATATTAGTCACAGATCCAGACTGCGTGCTATTAGGTATTGAGAATCTGGAGTCAAACCTGAAGTATTTTTTTTGGCAGTCACACTTGCGATCTTTTAATATAAAGTATAAGATAATTTGTCTAATCCATGTAATAAACATGTAACCTTCTAGCTCTTGAAATAAAATGGATACGTAAAAATAAAAGTGTGTACAAAAAATTATAATCATACTGAATAGGCTTACCCTTAGGAATATCATTATGGAGCTTTCAAAAAGTAATATGAAATTATAATATTCCTACAATAACTGTAATATTTAAGTTTTAATACAAAAACTCATTATAATACAGACCTATTATATTTTATAACGAGCATTGTCAAATAATAAAAACGTACAAAAGTTAAATGTATTGTAATAATAAGTGAGGCTACATTTATTCAAATTATAAGTAAGTACTATGTTAAACAAATGAATTATTTACAATGTTTATCGTAATTGTATACTAGTTATCAGCCTGCAGCTTCGCTTGTTCTATTTAAATCTTTATGAAACTCATCCACCAGTGGCAACCACATAAAATCCCGTTCAGATGTTTTTGAGTTTATCGCCAACAGATATTTTTTTTTTAAACGTTGCCCCACTTTAGTATTTTCTCCTGTGTCGTGGGTGCGTTTACAAACATACAAGTTCACATACACATGACACCCAGACCCCGAACAACAATCTATGGATCACACAAAGTGTTATTCCATGCGGGAATTGAACCGGCGTGTTTAAGGCGTGATGTTATGTTATGTATTGTTTAACGTCTAAAAATTTCATAAAATCTAATTTAGGTTTCGTACTATTTTAAAAATTAAATATCAGAGCGAAATGCATTTATGAATAATTATTGTTCTCATCTACAATTTGCAGAATAGCCCTCTGCTTACATATCTTAGCCTTTATCAAAACATTTTATAGACCATTTACTTGGAAACAAGCGAAGTCAGATATGCAAATATTACAGTTTTCTAAGGGCGGACTGATTATGTTCATTTTACCATAATTACTTGATATTACCGACTACACCTTATCAACATTATTTATAGCTCTGTGAATTAATTACTTATTGAACAGTGTGGTGATAGCAAAAAAACGATATTATTATTAATCCTTTTTCTTTCTGTAGGTTTCGTAGGAACCGATTAAGAAAGTAGACATTTAATAGATTCCGGGTGGTAGCAGCGCTTTCTGATAAACTTGACCCCTTTGGTCTTCGTCAGGTGTCGAGAAAACGTATAGTCCAGCGGATTGTCATAAACTGTTAATGATGATTCTGTTTTAGAGGTATGGCTATAGAAATGAGAGCCTCGTATATTTTGCTGATTTTTCTTGTGTCGGTACGATAATAAAAACAGTACACAGGTACTAAACTCATTTACGAAGGAAAGTTTGTATAGATAAAAGTATTTTAGACAAAAATAACTTCTTTAATAACACTGGAGTTCATTCAACTTTATGGTGGACAAAGTTCCATCAAAAGAGTGAGACGAAAATAGCGCGAAGATATAAAAGTAAGAAGTTTGCGTAGGATATTTAGATTGCTTCGAGATTTATGATTATATTATAATGTTATTATGTTGAGAGGTATGCGTACTAATATATTTTAGTTAGTTTTATTTAGTCTAGGTCGATGGTTTGAATTCAGTGAAGTATCACTTATCTGTTGTTTGGTTTTATCACAGTGTGTAAGAATTAATAAAGAATTTGAAGTAAAATATTTACTGACTTCGTTGCAACGGAACAAACCATTTAATTCATTTCATAAAGAATGTAATATTATTTATGGTATACGCCGGTAAACGAGCAACCTGATGGTAAGCAATCAGCGTCGCCCATGGATACCTGGAACACCAGAGGTGTTTTAAGTGCGTTACCAGCCTTTTGGGGATTAGGAATTTGAGGATTGTTGATTGGGCGTCCTTTATATATCATTTATATTCTTCAGAACTCATTAGATAGTAACTTGAGGTCTTAGTAACGTGGAAATAATTACGCGAAAAAAGCGTGAACACGTAAACTAATTTCTTAGTATAGTAAACTTATATAATTCTGTGACTCGCCTAATAATTCGGTTTAGTGAATTTGGTGGAACTCTTAGGTTTCTAGAAAAAAATCTGATTATTTGTGCTAATATTCCTCATAAAAGACTGATTAAAACTCATGCGGAGACTGAATTAAATTAATTAATAATTTATTGGTATTTTATTACTCAAATGCCTTTGTCATTTGAGTAATAAAATACGAAGTTAGATGAGTTCACCCTATCATCCTAATAAAAATATAAATGACAGCAAGTACGTACATACCTACATGTTTCAAAAGAACTGACTGGGTTGTCGCCAAGAACATTCGACGAAGTCTACAATTCTTAGAAGATAGTTCAATACTCGATACTTGTATCTTAGTAATAAACCTATCCGCCTTAAAATATAATGTTCCAGTCGTGAAGTAAGTCTTCAAGTCACCATCCTTTATTGTACCAACTAACCCCACAGAAGCTCGCTTAAAATATCTAGAGCTAAGTTATCTTTAAGTGCGAAACTTGCCAACTTAAGCTCTTGCACCGGAATAGCTGGTAAAGTA